ACGAATGAAAGTTAAAGAAATCTAAATCTTCCAAACCTTTGATTATGTATCCCACTGAAAAATTAATCAAAATTTTTATGGGGTATTTATGTTCGTTTTTAATGGGTATAAAAATCATACAAATTTGGACTTCAAATAATTAAAATCCTGAAATCATTGCAACAAACCTTTCAACAAATGCACAACAGAAATGTATCCGCGGGCTGCCAGTCTCAGACTACTGTCTTAGATGATCTATTGATATATGATATACGTTAGACGATCTATTGTATTGATATATCGATTCTATCTATATTATCGATTGCTTTCGTAGTTTTTCTGCCATGAGAAAGGTTGACTATTTAATTTCATAATTATTGGTTTATGAATTTTTTTGGAAAATAATAATAATAATAATAAAAAAAACAGCTGGCGACGTATCAGAAGAATAGGATGGAACGGATTCATTTTCTAAACTAACCTCGAATATATTTTGATATCTTAAATCGAAACGTTATGATAAAAGGATCTATTGTCCAAAGGAATGCATCGAAATTGGTGGCGATTATATTGAAATGTATCGAATAAACTGAACTTTCAAAGAAAGAAAATTAATTAAGTATCTAAATTATCCCTACGAAGGTATAATCTTTTGTCATCTTCTCGTATATAGGGTTGGCCCACCAGCGGCCGAGCGGTAAAGTTGCTGAACACTGGTAGTTCGGTCCGAGGTTCGAATCCCGCGAACGGGCTGGCTGCATGGGCGTTTTCGTGGTTTTCCCCATGTGTAACGTGTATACAAGCCAGTTTCCCTTAGAAAGTCCTCCACCAAGGCATCCCTCCTCTTAGGAGATAGCCCTCGAGGCTTTGCCATAATCACACACACACGTATATAGGGTTGAGAAAGTTGCACCCCCTAAGAAGAAAAAAGGTTTATCGTAGGATCTAGGAAAAAAAAATAAATAAAAATTATACGTGATAATAATATCTTGTGTTATCGTTGCCGATATTCATCACAATTCCATACTCTCTTGGGTAAAATTAGCAACATTTTTGAACACGAACTTAATACGTCTTAGGCAACTAGTATTCTAAGTCGTACCACTTATAGCTTAAGTGGTACTACGTTTAAAATTGGACAATTACAAGAAAACTTTCCTTTTCTCAATTAATTTATTTATGCAGTTAATTATAACAATGATCACAAAGACATTTTTTCATTTTCTTTCAACCCCAGCACAGAAATCGTGTATCATCCTTTGCATTTTAGGTTTTTAGGCACTGAATCTTTCTCTTCGAGATCTTTTCCACACATATTGCAGGGAGACGAACGTGAAGTGAAACAAAATGGTTGACTAGGGATAATTCGTTTCGCCAGAAGAAACTCAGCTGGCATGATATTACGCCTAATACTTGTATTAAAAAGTACGTCTTCAGCTGTGGTACGACTTGCACAACCTTATCCTATGAAGTACTTTTTGCAAGATGCATACGAATTGAAGGAAAGAAACTAGAAATTGTTAGTTAAAGGGAAGGGGAATCTGAAACGTTTCACATTTTAAATTACGCCCAAAGGGGTGTTTTTTTAACGTTTTGTGTTACATTTATTTATTAAATATCATGTTCTTCGCACTTAAACCATAAAACTCAGTTCAACAGCAATGCCGCAAAATAATTTCAAAATGAACATATCTTTAGAATTTACGATACACAGTTCCGCGCGCTGGAGATAATTTTTTTTTCGTACAGTGTTGCCAATGCTCGCTTTAAAATCGTTGAGTTTGCTACTCAAAAATTCGTTAAAGTTTTACAAAATAGGAAATCGATAATAAAAGAAATTCAAAATTTCAAATTTTGTCTTCCACATGCCCATATTCGTAGGAGGATTACGTCATTGAAAATTCGATGGCTCTATGTAACGTTGTTTTTTATCGCAATGCGAGAAATATACATACATTTATGCAGTTTTTTCACTATTTAATTTCTTCAAATATAATGCAGGACTCTAACATTTGGTGGCAACAGTTTAAAAAGTGATTCGCCGTTTATATTGATTCAACGCAAAATCGAAAACGGAAACAATAGTCCTTCAAGGACAAAGGCCCTAAAAGACTAAAGAAAAAAACGATTAAAATCTTTTTCATGACACAGTAGTTGCACTTTTCAGAAGATTTTACATTTAACGAAATAAATAAACTACATAAATACACTTTTTTTGCAATGATACAGGATTTAACAAATAACTCTTCTCTCATTAAAGAAAGAATGAGGATACTTCACGTGCATGAACTTCTGAAAGTCTATTCTTTGGCAATGAATTTTTAGGAGAAGGGCCCTATGAAGGGGAGAGGGGAAAAAACTGGGGGCATAGTTGGGGGTGTTTTCTTTCGCTTCTCATGCCACCAGAACAGGTTCCAGAAACCGGTAATCAAACTTTCTCTACTTATGATGGGGTAGGCTCACTATTTTTTTTTTCAAAGTATCCTATTTAAAAAAAAAAAAAAAAAAAAAAAAAAAACGAAGCAGTACTTTGCAAGAAGGTGACGCATCATTTTTCCTCGAAGAAGATAAAGCTACAGGTCATATAATTTTTTTTTTTTTTTTTCAACTGGGTAGCAAGGGGATATTCATTTCCCATCCCTCAGTTCACGACTATGTTTTGTTGTTAATATACAAAGCAATTTGAGGCAATTTGTTTATTCGTTCAAATTCATGCACTGGCAATTTGCATTTTGACATGAAACAATTAAAGAGAGCAAACTGTTTTTTGAAGTGCACTGGCATCATAAAAATGGCAAAAGAAACGCCAGAAACGCTTTTAAGGAGTACAGAATAAGGAAATTTAAACATTTAAATGAAGTTTTGGAGTTTTCTTCGGAATATAATATCCAGTCTCTAGATACAGTTGATAGACATTTAGCTCGCATACTGTTGAGTTGTAAATATAATATTTACCATAGTATATTGTTTTTCTTACTTTATATTAATGTTATTTTAAATATGATGCAGTATTTTATTTGACAGGCAATATTTTGGGCTTGGAAATTAAAACTTAAAAAACTTCTTCCGCACATATTAAAGGCAATTGCTTCACCACATTACGCCATTTTGGCTTACGGAGTGTTTTAGACGAACACTCTGTATTTCCGAATAGTGGGGCGAAGACTGGAATGGATTGAAAGTAAAATTAGATGCACAAAATCTTACATTTACATATTATGTAAATGTAAGATTTTGTGCATCTAATTATCCGTCAAATAATCATCTAATTATCCGTCAAAGGAGCGATTATAGATCGAACGTGTATTTCAATTGCAAATAGATTGATCGAAAATATGAGTCGTAACAGCGTTTATTGAAAAGAGGTGAGGCCTTTATATCTGAAACGTAAGCTTTCTAGTTCTTTGAATGATAATAATGATAGTAAGATACATCGTAAAATGTCATACGAATCGCGTAAATATTTTCTGTAGTAAAATCACTTTTGGTTCTAAAATTCGTTAAAATGGTTCATCTCCCCCTTACTTCTATCTTTCCTAAACTTCTGATGATATATTTCGTACACGTTTTGAAGTAATAAATACGTAATAAAAGGTTTAGATACTGATATTATGAACGAAAAAGTCGGTGATTTTGTTTGAATAGTAAGATTAATAAGTTATATAAGGAAGTAGGAAAATGTATTCTTTTCTCTATAGCGGATATGAAAGTCATTCATTACCGGATGTTTTAACGCTTGTATTTAATACTACGCCCTTTATAAAAGGAAATTATCTGCAAATAAATTATATAATTTTATTGACATTTTCCTTTTCTATTTCAATAAATTTGCCCTTAAACTGATTGAACAGCTAAGTGATTGAACAGTCGAATTCTATAAACTAATATTCCGAATAAAATTGCTATTATAAGATGCTTTTCTTCATAAACATAACGCATATTTAATCAAGTAGAGGACAAAGATAAATCTTTCAAGGTACAGAATAAATACGTTGCAGTACATCTCATTTTAGTAACGCATTTTGTAGAACATAAAAAACAAATTTTAGAAATCTCAAGCGGAAAAAAGTCCTTGTTTAAAATAAAACTTTTCACTACATTATACTGTAGAATAGCAAATCAGTAAAAGCAATGCTATATTTTTACACGTTTGCATATAGCAGAACACAAAATACGTAAAATGTTAGAACTTTTAAAATAACAACTTTTAGAACTTTTAAAATAACACTGAATTTTTGGCAACACAGTGCAACGCTTTAAAAAAAGTTAAATAAAAAAATTTAATCAAATTTCATGTCTACCTGTAACCATTTATTGGAAAGCAAAATTTATTTATATATAATAACTAAGCACTTTTTATTGTGTTATAAAACTAAAAAAAAAAAAAGAAAAAAAAAAAAAAATGTTTTTTTTATCTTTCTCATCCTCCAAACGAGGGCAGATTTGACACGTTAATTTCGTTCAAGCACATGACAAAGAAGTTAAAAACTCATAGAAAAATTATCGTTCAAATATTTAAGCTATTGTTTCTGTTTGCCATAAGATTTTTAGTTGCTGTATCATATTTTAAAATGCAGAATGCCTTTTGCAGTTAAATCATTTAATAACAGATTAATTCGATTTTTGCTAACGAATTTAATAATTAACCGAAATATTATTTTTTAAAATTTTAAATTTAATTTAAGTAAACGAATATTTTATTTATTTCATTTAATGAGAATGAAATCATAATCATAACATTTTTAAGTTTTAGAACTGACAAGAAAAATTATAAAAGTTTTGTTCCTATACTGCGATTACAGCTTCATATAAAATATCAAATTCTGTGAAGCAGATGTAAAAAAAAAAAAAAAAAAAAAAAAATTAGGATGCAATTGCGACATTTTAAAATCTCATTACAACATAAATTGTGAAAATAATTTCATACATCTCGATGCATCGCTATATTTTTAAATCTTTACGCAACATAAATTGTGAAAATAGTTTCGTATATTTTTACTAGATGGCGACACCAAACTTACTTTGAGCAATGCTGCAGATAAGCTTCCGTTTGTGGCGGCGCTGAGAACACATGTTCCCAGATCATCCACGCAACGTCCAGCTTCTCGCACGAGAGTCTGCAGGTGGCTGGATCTGCTCTCTCGGCAAGGAACTGAAATGAAAAGAGTAGCTGTTTATAATTTTGGGTACATGTTCATTCGTATTTCAAATATTTAAGCATCGTTCTTTTTCTCCCTCCCCGACATTCTTTTTTTGATTTTAAAACACCTGTTTCAAGTTACTTCATCATGTGTAATGATTAGAACTATATGCAGTAAGATAATATTTAATTCTTCAGATCAAAATAACTACCTAGAAAAATTCTATATTTTGCAAAGAAAATATTTTTGAGGAAATGAGATCATGCATCAAATCACAGATCGCTGGAATTACACTGTATATTTACTTAAATTAAAATTAAAACTTATCTATTATTATTATTATCATCATGCCTACATGAACAAGAAATGTATAAATTCTAGTTAAAAATTAAGCAAAATTCAACCTTAAATTAACTTTCGTTTCGCAGAAAAATAAGAAAGCATTTCGAGGAGTATGGGATGAGATCCCTCTTTTTTATACATTAACCAAAACTATTAATAGTTCCTAAAATCTATTATTGTGCATGTTCATTACAAAAAATATTAAATAAACTTTCTGTGTCTCTATTTCAATGTATTTATTAAAGTTATCCTTTTTTTCTTTTCTTTTCGTTTTTTTTAAAAGAAAATAAATTCACCTTTTTTTTTTCTTTTTTTTTTAAAGGAAATAAATTCACCTTCTTTTTTTCTTTTTTTTAAAGAAATAAGATCTTTTTTTTTTTTTTAAAAAAAAAAATTCACCTTTTTTTTAAAGAAATAAATTCATCTTTTTTTTTTTCTTTTTTTTTAAAAAAAATAAATTCACCTTTTTTTTTCTTTTTTTTTTTAAAGAAAATAAATTCACCTTTTTTTTTTTTTTTTTTTTAAAGAAAATAAATCCACCTTTTTTTTTTCTTTTTTTTTTTTTAAAGAAAATAAATTCACCTTTTTTTTTTTTTTCTTTTTTTCTGATCACTAAAATTATGTTTTGGTGAAATTAACTTCTTGTGTAATAGATTCCAAAAGAAGAAAAACATTAAAGTTTTGGTCTTAGTTTAATGTTAATACATAGCTTAATATTAATGAATGCTTAATTAAAACCCTTTTCCCGTGGTCTACAGACATTAATTTTCCACTCATGTTAGCCATTTGAATAAGTATTTAGGCAGGAAAGCAAAGAAAAACAATGTAATAGGTTTCTCCACATTTCACTCCACTTTATTCTGCAAATTTGAAGTCTCTAAATGGGTCTTAAAGTCCTTGAGCCTTATTTAATGTAGTCAATGCACGGGACATTGTCCCAGCCCCTGGGAAAAAATTCGTGGGCTATAGGGACCGGAGCAGAAAAACAAATTAACAGGGTCTTTCACTTCCTACTCCATATTAAAGAGTAAATTTTAAAGCTCCATAATTTACTGAAATTGAGATTCATTTAAAGCAGTAGACGTGAGGGACATATATGTCGCAGCCCCTTGTGAAAAGTTAATACTAATTTTCAATGAAGCAGCCATTTTGTCTTGATTATTCCCATTTGCCAGTATTTTGGTTATTTGAAACAAATTGGAGGTTTTTAGCATTACATTCAAATTCATCCGCAAGCACGGGGGAGGGCGAGATTAGTAAAATTTCTTTTGTATGTGAAGATAATATTTTAACAGCTACTTGGTTTTATGTGTGATCGCGATTAAAGATTCAGGCATCTTATTTGCACTGCGCAACCGATATTGATAAGGCAATCAGCACGAAATAACAACTGAATTCCTTTCCGGATGTTATAGCAAGGTTACGATTACATTGCTTCCGTTTAGGATATTAAATAGGCTGAGCAAAATTGTCACTTGACGTAAACAGTAACGTCAATATGTAAGATAAATTAGATCTTGAAAGCCTGTCGTTCAAAATTAGTTCAAAGTGACCTTTTTTCTTCCTTCCGCAACGCAATAATTTAATTATTTATCAACACCTGGAAGATGTTAATATGCTACGGTTTTTTTTTTTTGTAAAAAAAGTCAAGCTCCAGGGCCAGAAACGGAGTAACGGATGCTAATCTGCATAGACAAGACATATTCTTTGACGCCATGTGTTGTTAAAATAGCTGTCAGTATCGATATGATCGTTAGAGATACTACCAGCCAAATTGTTGAGCCCGGAACCAAATCCTTGAGAACACATCGATATTTTTAAACATACATTATCTTTACAGCAAAGAGAAACTTAAAATATTATCAACCCAAAAGTTGCTGCGAAGGATTGCTGGTAGGGTAAGAGAAATAGGAGATCCTCGGATCTGTACCCTCAGGTATTCTCCATCAGAATTCAGAAAGAGCTGAGCAAACATCCTGTCAAAAGGCCATTCGTAAACAATGTGCTATTATCTCTTATATTATTAGTATTAATAAAAATGAAATATGTTAAGTAGGTTTTACAACAGAATTCATTTTTAACGATCATACTTGCATGTTATTATCTGCCTAGAATGTAAACCTCATGTTAATTCAGCAACATTCGCATTTTATCCCTTCTTCTCTTACACTTATATAATTTAAAAATAGTTCTGACATTGCTGGGGAAGGAAAGATCATATAACGCTTTAAAAATAAATTTCACTAAAATTTATATTAAAGCATTATATTTTTGTAGAGACATTTAGCATTTTGAAAGCAGGAGAGATGAAAAATCAGCAATGCTCTCGCTGGGACTCGAACCAGGGACCTTTTGAAGACGCGCCGAGTGTGCTGGCCATTACACCACGAAGGCATGCTAAGAAGGCGGGACTTTAACTAAATTCCTAGCTCCCGCCTAGCTTTAAGTAGATTCACTGACTGGCACCACGAAGGCATGCTTATGTCAAATTTCTATTTTGGTACAAAAAATCCCTTTAATAAAACATTTTCCTTACTTAGCGATTGGCAACAGCCTTTTGTTTAATTTCCAAATAGAGACGTCTTTGGCGAGGGTTAAAAACTGTAGCTGTGTGATATCCTTAGCTAGAAATTAAATGAAGTCCATTTCAAATGCTGAGCTCAGATATGAACAATCAGTTAAAAGAATTTTGCTCTATTTATAATTCTTCAGACATTTCAACTCACAACAGAGATTCATTTATGTCACATTTTACACCCGAAGGTCAACCATAAAAAGTGAAGGACGTTCTCAGAAACAAAAGAAAGGAAATCATGTGAAAAAGAAGAAAAATTATGCAAAACAATGACCTAATCGGAAAAAAGGAATCAAATTTTACAAAAAAGAAATTTTTAAGAAAGTGCAGCCTTCACAAGAAGACGTTGCATATGAATAGAATTTCGCACTGGAAAATGTACCAGACTCGGTAAAACAAGAATCGAGTTTTCCGTTAAAAATATATTATCGGAAGGCAGAAGAGTATTCTTGGAAAGAGCGGGGGGGGGTCTGCCTTTTTGGTAAGAACAAAGAAATGCCTTTAAGAGCAAAAAAGATTTTATTTCTCAAAACTTCATAAACGCCAAACTTTTTCGACTTTTCCTTCTACTATATTATTTTTTGTTTTAGTAATTTTTCGTCCCTAAACTTTTAGCAGTGAACTTTTATTCTTTTTTAATATGGAAGAAGATAGGGAATATATATATATATATATATAATTTACATTTGGTGCAATTTGTACAAATCATTAATGTAAGTTGACAAAAGTTAGATTAAAAACAATATAATGCTATACAAAATCATCATCATCATCATAATAAACAATTGACCGACTAAAAATATCTCTTGAAAGTTCGGTTGCAAGCTTGCTGTTTCAGCTTTAAAAAGGAATCAAATACTCTGTATGAATGCTACAATTCTTCACACATGATACACGTATCAATTAAAATTAAAATTTTTATAGGAAGGTGCTCCTACGGAGAAAGCTTTAAGTAATAAGTTTTTCATTATTCCATTAAAATTTTTTTATGAAAAAAAATCGGCTTATCCAATAGTGATACTGAAAAAGAATTGTTCAAAAGACAAACTACTTTCATCCTGTCCTCACATCATATTTAAAAGCCATATAAAACTGAATTTTAAGAAATAAAAAATTCTGTGTTTTGTAAGTTCCACAAATGACAATTTGAAACTAAAGCTTATGCATGAAGTTTATTTTTCAGCGTTATCTATAAGCAATTTGCATTTGAAGAATCAGCATGCCTACCTCATATTAACAACATTCATAACCTTTAGCTCAAAAGTTTGTAGAAAGATCATGTTAAGCGAGCGAAACTTGCAGTAACTAAATCTGGTTAATAAAGAGCTTTGGTATACTCTCTATAAAAGAAATGCACTCAGTAACATCATGTGGGGCAGCATAGTTCACATTGTAGGACAAATGGAATTAAATTTATCTTTCAGCCATTCGGTGGGATGCAGCATTTTGGGAAAAAAAGAGATGGTTACACAGGGCCAACTTTTTCAGAGAGTTTAAGTTATCCTAAACCATATGACAACTAGTTTGTGACAAGGACTGACTAAGAGTCCCTTTCAGCTAGTGCTTTCATGAATGTCAAGAGCAGTGAAGCAAATGTGTGCATTACGATGGATGTTTGTAGAGACATTACGCTTATTTCGGAAGCAGGCAAGATGAAAAATTAACAACGCTTTCGCCGGGAATCGAACCGCGGATTTCTGGAATACCGTCCCAGCGTACAGAACCACTACACCACGAAGGCACGCTAGGAAGGCCGGAAAAATACCTTATATGTTCTTTTTAAGGTGATCAGCAGTAATTATTCACATTTGAGACATAATTAATCCATAAGCATTTCCCAAAGTAAGAATATGTTATTCGCCAAAATTTAAATTAAAGCTATCTTGGGAGCATTGTTGTTGTGGCTGATCTCATTTGTCTGACATAACTACAGTCCGCAGTCCAGTTCCGCCCCAATTTTGAAGTATAGAACCCCACGGAACGGATCCAAGGGTTTCTCCTCCTTCTTCCCTTTCGACCAAACCACTCGAGAAGACTTCAGGCTCCCCATACATACTGTGCCGCACAGATACTATACATTTACAAAGATCCATG